TCCTATCACCGTGACCATCCTTGTCGACATTATCGGGAATAAATCAAATAAGTATCCGCACACAGGACACATGACAAAGAAGGAAGAGGGGTAGACCGCAGGAGACAACGAGGGGGGAATGGGTAAATTGCATGCGATTGAAATTGAATGGTTTAAATGGTCATTTCAATGGCTGCAATTTAACAAGCCGTAATTAGTTGATTGTTGTACCAAATAAACTTAAATCAACAACAACTGACAATTGACATTTGCATGGAGGAGCGACGGTTAAATTGAAAGGACCCGCCAAGTGACCCCCTCCTCTCGCCCTCTCTTTCCATCGTACATAAATAAGCAGGCGTTACAAACTGCTTGCACACACACACACGCAAGCCAGCCTTCCCTCTCCCTCTCGCAAGCACACACACATCACACACATGTCAGGCTTGTCGGCCATATTGTGCCAGTCCGTCTCGCTCTCTCGCTCGACCGCAGTGCCTTGTGCTTTGTGCTATTTATTAACCTTTTATTTAATGCTATTTGCTTAAGCGTTCTGCAACAACAACAACAACCGATGACAGGCCATCGCCTTGCAATTACCCCAGCTCTTCCCACTCCCTTTCCCCATTCGCCATCTCCCATTGTGTCGTCGCACTCCTCGCACTTCAATTAGTGTGTGTGTGCGGCAGTGTTTGTGCATGTAATTAGGTGATTGTCAGTTTGGTTCAAATGTCGCGTTTTATTTATTTGCTTTGAGACCCATTCGCTGGGGGAATTGGGATAGAATGAACTGGAAGGTTATAAATGGGTTATACTCTAAAGAAAAACACAAAAAAGGTAGTTTTTTTGATTATAAAGATAATAAAAATTAATTGAACACCAATTCGCTTTTATAGAGTTAGTGTAAAATTCCCCATAAGCCCAGCTTTAATTATAAAAAATATAATGTTTACTTTTTTACAAAACGTAAACTTTTTTTTAGTTTTTTTCTACTTATTATTCTTAAAGGGACAAATGAAACTGTAATTAAGTAAACACTGTAATTGCTTCTTCCCATCAGCGAATTGTTTTAAATATTCCGCCCAATTTTTTGTAAAACCACCTTATCAGTTTAACCAGACAAATTGCCTCCCCTTGACATGTACTTTTTTATATGTACTTATTAATTTTCTTCGAAAACTTTTCCACTGCTAATTGGCTGTTACGCACCACCCCTTGGAAAACCCCCTCCTCTTAGCCTCCAACAACCCCAATGGCATCTGCGAGCCAAACCCAATCGATTTCCATGGCGAGTTGAAAACCATTTAACTGTCAATTAAATACAATTTCCACATGCCTGTTATTGATTTTTCTCTCCAAACTGTCGACAAGTGGAACGGACTGGGGGATAATGGAGAAGGGGTTTGACTGCCGACTGACGACGATGATGATGATGATAATGATTACGGCTGTCGTCACGTGTTAATTGATATTAGAGCAGCACGCTCTCCATCGAATAAATTATGCAAATTTCAATTGAGACAAGAAATCAAATTCAATCAAAGCAAAATCAAATCGAATCACAACACACGTCAAATCCGAATTGCGCAAACCGAAAAGCAAATTATTAATTTGCGCAACAATTGTTAGCCATTTGTTGTTTGGTTCGACATTTTTTTTTAACTTATGACATAGCCATGTCCATTGTTTGCTAAACGACGTTAGACAAACTGGCCGCAAAATCACAACAATTACAGTCTCCAATCCAAATCCAATCCCCAATCGCAACGTAATAAATGCTACGATTCGATTAAAAGATCAGCTCGAAAAGCAGCAATACAAACGCAAGCAGCGAAAAAAGAGCAATTGGAGACCAACAGAGTTGGCTCTTTCTTTAAGCCCGACTTAAATAGGTAACTGGAAATGCGCCGAGAGTGGCGTTAAAATAGCTAGGTTGTCAACTCCACAGTCCTATAAGATTGACAATGAGAGCGGCGAAGCTAACGAGGACCATCGATCCTGTTAGCGGGCGAGAAAGAGAGCACCCATCCGCATCCACATCCGCGCTCTGTTCTGTTTCTGTTCTTCTGATGTTGCTCGTTTGTAAGCTACATACATTTTTGCGCTTCGTCCGACAGCAGCGGCAGAGCCTCAGAGATCAGGCTTCAACTCCAAGTCCCCATTCTTATTCCCCAGCTCCGTGCACTTAGCTACTGCTAGTTGGAACAGGGCTGCATTCAAGGACTCCTAGACGTATGTGATGGTATTTAATTTAACACTTAAAATATATACCAAGCATAACAAATTTAAATATTATTAAATTTTCTTAAAATATTACAAATATTTTAGATATTTTTGTATCTTGTGTAAGAAAAAGGAGAAGAGTAGATAAAGACATTTAAAGTTACATTCAAGAATCTTGGAATTCGGTGACTTAAATTAACTTAGTTGAATCTATCGAACGGAACATTGAAACTCGTGTAAAGAATTAAAGAAAAGCTTATTGCCGCCCCAAACGAACCTCTTTTGAATCCGCTCCCCTCAAAGCCTGAATCTCACTCTCTGTCCGTCTGACTGAGCAGCTTCATTGGCGTTTCTTGTGCTGCTGCTGCGCTTTGTTTAAATAAAAGCCTCTTTAAGTTTATCTATTGCCGCGCATCTAAATTGTGTGCCCAGTGGGGAGCTGTTGGGGGGCGGTCGGGGGTGGAGCTGCCTCGGCTCACTCACTGCGATTATGCTATTTGTTGTTGTTGCTGCTGCTGAAGTTGATGCTGTGGCGGAAAAGAGAGAGGGATAGAGGTCTTGTAATGTTTTGCCGGCGCGCTTTGCTCTTTTGTCGTTGTCGTTGTGTTGTCGTTGTTACTTATTGCTTGCGTTGTAGGCTTCATGTTTTGATTGTATTTATTTTAGTTTGAGTAACTTTACTGCGATGCTTTTTGTTGCTTTTCTTGCTTTCGGTTGCCGTCCATTTCTGATGAAGATTTTCTGCGCGATTAACTAGCGAGATCGCCTTACGCTCCGCGGCGTCTTTTATGTGAAAAGCGTTTCGTGCGCGGCTTTAATCATGTCTCCGCTTTGCCTGGAATCTGCAGGAAATGGCCATGGTGAAGGGGTTGGCCGGGGAGAATCAGTTTGCTTTTCAGACATTTTGAGCAATTGCGTTTAATTTTATTCATAATTCGTGGTCTTGGGTTACCATAGTCGAACTTCTGTAACTCAAACTGCCATTAGGCACATTAAAATTTAGAGCTGCGAAAAGATTGACTCACGCTAATACTGGTAATGATAAGTAATATAAAGTAGACATGATTCAACCCGAGTTGCCAATGATCTTCTTATAAAAGGTGATTAAGAGAAGCTCGACTGTAGATATTTTATGATCTCTATTCTCCTCTTTTTCTTCCCCTTGATCGCTGTGTCTAATTGTTTCTTCTGAGGGCTGAAAATTAAGCCAGATTAATTCGTCGGTCGGGGGTTATACTATCGTGGTGTCGGCATCTGGCACTCGCGGCTTTGTAATGCTGCAACAAAGTTATTAAACTGGCTTGGATTGGTTTGCATTTCGGGGCGTGGTTCCAACGATCTGATCCGACGCGATAATAAAGCGTGGACAGCCCGAAAACCTCCATGATCCAGGGCCTTTATGGGTTCAACAGCAGCGATAAAAAGATCGCTGGAATTCCTATACTTTACGTCCAATCTGTCGGCGATAACCGGGAAAGGTGCAACTTTGATGGTCGATTTAAGATATGAAATATGACCCATTAAGCACTCTAACATGGTCGCTAAAGAGCTTCGCGGCTTGATAATGCAAATTAATGCAGCCCTCCCTGGGTTTTTTGTTAACTACAACTAAGGTTTTCTGATTTAATTAAAAGAGTGATCAGCATTCCCTACATAACCTTACCTCAAACAAGGCAAACCTGTTTTCACCCCACGAATGCCGCACAAAAAATCTGTCACAAATACTTGAAAGGAAAGCTAAATACAGATTTATGAGCACAAAGCTCTGCAACAATGCAATATGTTGGCCAATTAGACAAGCCCAAACATACGCATGACTTTCAGTTGGTCAGGGAAGGGGTATTTACAAAATGGTAAGGCATTAAGCAACTATTAAGAGTTTAAACTAGTGAACTTAAGCCTTTTAATAGTAAACAATTAAGGTTGCCTCGCAAAAAAAATAATGAATATGATTAAGTGAACCTAAGCCACAAAAATACGTTAATGATCCCTCTTTCGGTCTTTACCAACTTACGCCCATGATTAAGTGGATGCAATTGTACAAGTATTGGTATTCATTTACGCAGAACTATCATCAATGTTGTCCGATGTGATATGTGTGAAGGCAAAACGACAACAAACAATAAAACTGCGACAAAAAAGCATCAAAAGCAATTATGAAATCACGGCAGATGTTGGGGCAACAAAAATTGTGGTGGTGATTTATAAAGCGCAGCTAACAACAACAAGAATGACATCAAAAGCGCAAAAATTTTCGTTGAACGAGGCAACAACAAAAAGGAAAAAATAAACGAAGGAGTAAAGGAGAAGGGGAAGCTGTGGCATGTGTTGTACATAAACATACACATATGTGTGGGGTACATAAAGCAGGACGGAGGATGCCAGCAAAAAAGGACTGCAGATGCCAGACCGCAAGGAGGAGCGAAAGGGAGGGGGCAAGGAAGAAGGAGGGCAGCCTACATAGAGTGAGATTTACGACTTAAATGCTGCAGCGCATAATCAAAACGACAAGGCGCAGATGTAAATGGAGTGGAGTTCTTATCCCTATATTCTTTTTTTGGGGCGACGACGCACTTAATTAACAAATATACAAACACTTAACATAACCTCAACTGACAGGCGACAGGCCGCGAGTGCGAGCGGGATGACAGTAGGGTACGCCCCGACGCCGCTGATTGGATGTTCGAAAAAGCCAGAGCGAGACGCAGAGTGCGAGAGAGCGTGTGTGAGAGAGATTCTCTTTCGGCGGCTCTCAGCTGCAGCCGTCTCGCTTTGCTTTCAGTTCGCGAGAGAATCAGTTGGTCGGCGGTTCGAACCAGCGCACGTTACGTTTTTAACGGGCGAGCGGATTAACGGTCGGAATCGATAAAATCGCTGGTTTATTAGTTGTCAATCGGAATCAAAATCGCGTTGTCTTGGCTATCGAAGTGATACATTTGGCTTGTGGTTGATGTTTTTAACGATTTCGGCCTGCCCTGAAATGCCGTCGGCTTTTGGCCCCTGTGAACTTTTAAGCTGAAGACCCAGAGCCCCAAAACTGATGTCCACTTTGGCCAGCAGTCGACCGCCCCCGCTCAAGCTGATTATTTCCTCCTTGGAGGAGGCAGAGGAACGCCAGGTGGAGGAGGAGAGAAGAGCGGGAGGAGGAGGTGGCCAAGAAGTGGGTGAAATGCATCCGGATTGCTTACCCCTGCCCTTGGCTCAGTCGGGGAACTCCCCGCAAGTCCAGCAGGAGGAGGAGGAGGAGCCGACGGAGTGCGAGGAGCAACTGAACATAGAGGATGAGGAGGAGACGGAGGAGGATCAGCGGGAAATGGATTTGGATCTGGAGGATCCGGCCAGCTGTTGCAGTGAGTCGAGTGTTTTGAGCGTCGGTCAGGAGCAGTCCCAAGCTGCCCAGGCGGCATTATCTGCTCAAGCTCAGGCCCGGCAGAGGCTTTTGATAAGCCAAATCTACCGACCGTCGGCTTTCAGCAGCACCACCACTGTTCTACCGCCCGGCGAAGCAACGCCCGAGGAGCTCCTGAACTTACCGCCCTCCACGGGATCCTTCCAGGAGGAGTTCCTGCGGAAGTCGCAGCTCTACGCCGAGGAGCTGATGAAGCAGCAGATGCATTTGATGGCCGCCGCCCGAGTAAATGCCCTCACAGCGGCGGCAGCGGGAAAGCAGCTGCAAATGGCCATGGCAGCTGCGGCGGCGGCCACAGTGCCCAGCGGTCAGGATGCACTGGCTCAGCTGACGGCCACCGCTCTGGGATTGGGTCCCGGTGGAGCGGTACATCCCCACCAGCAACTGCTGCTGCAAAGGGACCAGGCCCACCATCATCATATGCAAAATCACCTCAACAACAATGAAAATCTGCACGAGAGAGCCCTCAAATTCAGCATAGACAACATCCTTAAGGCGGATTTTGGATCCAGGTTGCCCAAAATCGGAGGATTAAGTGGCCATATAGGCGGTGGCAGTGTGAGTGGTGGCAGTACAGGCAGTGGTAAAACAGCTGCAACTACCAATGGCAACAGATCTCCCCTCAAGGTGCCCAAGAAATCAGGAAAACCCTTGAACTTAGCTCAAAGCAACGCCGCTGCCAACTCCAGTTTGAGTTTCTCCAGCTCGCTGGCGAACATTTGCAGCAATAGCAATGATTCCAACAGCACCGCCACCAGCAGCAGCACCACCAACACCACTGTGGCGCCAGTGGACCTGGTCAAGTCGCCACCACCCGCAGGAGGAGCAGTAACCACGGGAGGAGCGGCCAGCAAGTCCGGCGAGGAATCAGGCACTCCCATCGTTTGGCCAGCGTGGGTCTACTGCACCCGCTATAGTGATCGTCCCAGTTCTGGTAAGTCCTTGTTACTTTATTAAATGTGCCTGACATCTACAAAAGATGAAAATCTTTTATCCGTCGGTTCAGTCAAAATAATAAAATAAAAATCGAATTACTTGTGTTATAAACTTTTATATAAAAGTAAAAACAATATATAATTTATAATTTGTGTAAGAAACAATAACTTTTTTTTAAGAGTGCTTGCATCAATTTTAGTGGCAGTGATAGTGTGCTAGCACTCGCTCTTTCCACAAATGCAAACACACTCGAGGAGACGAGTTGTTGAGTGGTGGCTCATAAAGCGGTTGTGCAAACAAGCGACAGACACCACAGACCCGGCAAACGGAGCCAAACCACAGCAACCCACAGCTCATTAGTTTGCCAACCACCGAAATAGTGAGTGAGGGAGCGACAAGGAGGCAAAGCACTCACCCCGAAGTGAAGTGTCTGCTCGAGTGGTTTTCATGTCCTTATGGCTTATGTAACATAACTTAAGCTCATTATGCCCCCACCCCCAACCCCCGGCATGTGTTTGTGTGTGAATACGCCACCCCAACCCATCGAAAGCAACCCTTAAGCGAGCTCCCGGCAATCATGGCACTCTCATGAATTTAGTTTATGCCACCGCAGGGAATTCGTAATCGTTTGCCTAATAATTTCATGGACAAAATGTGGGGGAATCGAGTGGGTGGGCGAACTCCATATGCTGGGGAGTTCATTTACGGGGTGGCTTATTGCTGTTTGAACAAGCAATTCGGATTCCTTGATAGTTTTTGGCAATCTCCCGGAATCTCTGGTAAATCCATGGATTATGTGGTTCAAGTGGTAAATCGAGAGTGATTTAAACCTTTTGAAGTGCTTACCTTTATTAGCCTTCTAAGTTACTTAACAATAAGTTCTAGTCGAGTTGCTAAACCATTTAAAAAGTGTGTTCAGAATGAAATCGAATAGACTGATAATCGAATTGTTGTAACATTATTAAATTAACAATAAATGGTCATATAACTATGGGAGTGACTTTATCTTCAACGATTCAAATTTAATTGCTTTATTAAGTATCATTTGATGCAATTTCTTAGATTGAACAGATTAGTTATTTAAGCACTTACGACAGTTTAAAGCAATTATCCACACGTTTCAGAGATCTAGCCAAGCAGCTAAAGAAAATCACTTTTATAAATAGGTACCCACTATTTATTTTATAATGAAAAAAATTGTTCTGCCAAACTTTCCTAATTTCGAATTTTCCACAGCTTTTCCGAGCTTGCCCCAAATAAATTCGAGTTTGTATAATTCCTTGGCAATTTACTCATTACGCTGATGGATGTCAAACCCATAATTATTTAGAGAGGGTTTCGGGGTTGGGGAATCTCGTAGCTGAATCCCCAAAAAACGAATTCCGCGTTCCAAGTGCATAAATCTACGCTTTTGGGTGGGTTTTGTCGCGCTCGCTAATTAACTTGAAACGATTTTTTTTTGTCGGTCCCCTCCACTCAGACTGTCTCTTTCGCTCTGGAGTTGCCTGTCTCACTCGCTCCGGGGTTTTAAGGTGTGTTTATTGTTGTGGCTTTTTCATTTTCTCAGTTTCATTTTTAGGTTTTTTTCCAAGCTCTTTTTTGTATAAATTTAGCGTGACTAAAACGAGATCTCGATCGCAGTGCGGTTCCATAATTTGAATGAATGTTGTAGGCGATGGCGTCGTTGTCGTCGTTATCGTTGGGCCTCCGATTCGGAAACGTTTTCGGAGTGGCTATATGGAGCTGCAGCTGCCATGGCAAACAATGATTTAGCGTGAGATTTGCCGCAGTCAGCTACAAAATCGGCGAATTAAAATGCCAGCCCAGAATAAGAGTCATAAATTTGTTGCTTTTGAAAAATTACTGTGGTCGGGAAAAATATTAAAAGTTTTTTTTTTATAATCCCAACAAAGGTGTTAATTTGACAAATTAATGCAACATATTCCGTGTGCGCGTAGGCGATTAAAACAGTTGCCAAAAACGTACATTCGACAACAAATTAGTTAATTGCATTTAACGGCCATTTGTGGTCCACATGATATATGGCTAACATATGGGAGCCTGTCGGACTGCATATATGCCGTCTATTTCGTGGGCCATTTTCGAATCAGATTAATGGCATTATAATAAAACAACGCACAGCTTTTGATAATCGATACAAGATTGCGTTTAATCTTAGAAATTGTCGGTCATATTTTACGGTTTTTATTGCTGAACAAGAGGGAGTGGCAAAATGTTCGATTTACTGTTTGCATCTAGCAATTATGAATGTTGAGTTTTATGTGGTTCAGGGGATTAATCAATATTTCCTTATGAAACTTGAATGATGAAGGAAAAAATGTACACATATAAGGATGCTTTTTTAACTCCATATGTCCAAGTGTTTTGTTTCCTCCCTTAGTTTTTTAAGTATTATTAAAAAATGTGCATTGAAAAGTTTCCTTCTTGTTTAATTAAAGCCCAACGGCTAAACTATAATTAAGTTCGGGCTATAAAATGTTCTTCAACAAAAACTTGACGTGCCATAACCGATTATTGTTAAAGCCTGCTTTTCAGGCAATTAATTTTTTAGCAAAAATGTACGAGATCAGTCATATGGTAAATTAATAATTGTTTCCCCGTGTATTATTGAGAGCGTATCCTTTCCTAGACTTATTCAGCATACACTTTTTATAAAGAAAGATAAGACAAACAAATGTGGTTAAGAACTTCGACTGGCTGAGAACCCCCTTATGACCCTTGTCAGCCAGTGGAAAGCAATTTTCGCATTTGTCCGGCACTTTGCGCTCATTTAACCAGTAGCTGAGACAGCGACAAGCGGGAAAACAGAAACGGGAAAAGGGGCCAGCGGGAAAACGGGAGCGACAGCGATCGCCACTGAACCATTAAGTAATTTTCAATTTGCGCAGAAGACGCGTCTCGAACAGCTAGAGAAACAGAAACAACAACAACAGCAACAACAACAGCAACAACAACAACAACAATGACAACATAAACAAACGAATTTCAATTACACCGGCCTGCAATTACCCCCCTCGAAAGCCTCCGATTTTCTCATCTCAGTGCTCTTGCTGTTGGAAAATTGCTGGAAAAGTTTCTTTGCCTCCGCTGCCTTTGCATGTTCTAAACGGAAAATTTACTTAGGAAATTGCTCTAAACAAAAAGGAAGAAGCGGATAACAGCAGTGTTTGAGTGCAGGTCAACTTCGCTCTTTAAAAGTGAAAAGTTATGGCTGATTTTCTAGCTGTTTAATAGGTGATAGTACGCCTTTAGCGAAAATTATATTGTTTTTAACTACGTGAAAAAGTAAAACTTAACAACGCCTTTGGTGGTGATTGTCAGCCTCGTTCCCATTATTATTTAAATGGCACCCGCGGCTAGGCGGAAATTATTTTGAGTAAAAAATAACGATATTGAAAAATTAACAACCTATTCAATTAAATCCCAATGGAGCAGAATTATTTCCGCGCATAAACCTGCACTTTACTCCCAACATCTCCTAATGTATGCAATTGGGGCAATTTGAAACCGAATTAGGGAGGGCGCATATAGCCCACAATTATTATTGGCAACCATCAAAGAACTCAATCAATGATAGGAACACGAAAAGTTTCTTAGCCAAAACGATTTTACGGCTTAAGTGCGCAATTTGCGTTGAAAACGCAACAACAAAAACACCAAGAACAACGTTGTTTATGACCCAAATGCATTCATAAATATGCGAGGCTGTCACGTCATATGATAATCACGATATCCAGAGCCTCAGGAGAACTTTGGGAACTCCGCTTTTCCCACTCCCTTTGGCCGCCAAATTGAGCCATTGAGGAAAATACTTACCGGCTCATGTGTTGGCCTCTTTCCTTTCAAACACTTCTAGAAAGTTCTCTCCATGTGAGTGGTTAGATAGCTAGAACCTCTTTAATGAGTGTACCCCTCAGTCTATCACTTTTCGGCTTTAAATTATGAGGGATTTTGTGGGTCAAAAGAAAACTTAAATCAATCAAAAGCTACTATGTAAAAAATCCATCGGACTAAATTACTATTTGTAGTCCACAACCCGTTTTAAAAAATCTTTAGCGCATGCAACTTTACTTCTTTATTAGTAGGAAGTCCTAAATCTATTCGGAGTATAACCAAATACATTTGAAGACTCTTTTTCGCTAAGTGTATGATGGGTGTTAGGAAGAAAAGGCAATGGCAATCAGTCGCGGCGATTTATGAAGTGACAAAAATTAATTTCAACTGTTAACTTATCGCACAACCAACAAGCAACACACAAAAGCAACAGCAACAACAACAAGAAGAGGAGGGAGCAGCGGCAGCAACTGTAGCAGCAACAACAACTAGTAGCGCCTTTTAAGGCTTTGGCAACTGCAACTGCCGCAACTGGAAAAAGCAGCCATGCGCCTTGGTAATAAAACTGTCAGACCCGCAGCCCCAAACGCCCCCTTGCCCCTTTTAGCTTATTTTTTTTTTTTTAACCGCGGCACGATAACAGCGGCAGCAGCGAAAAATGTCGTTTAAACTGTGACTGGACTGCTGACCGCATTTGGTTAATGTGAACTGAAAACTGCTGCTGCCGCGGACAGTTGCATTTTCTGCTCAACAGTTAATATGGCCTGAAATTGGGCATCGGCCAGGCATTTTGTAATTGTTTCTGCATACCCTAGCTTGGAGCAAAAAAGCGAGGTAGCTTGGGCATTGTAAATGATAAAGGAGAAAAAGAAAAATGTATCTCTATTTTAATACAAATAAAAAAAAAAATTAATTAATATCCAAAGTTGTCTAGTTAGAAATAATTGCTATGCTTTCTCCGTTTAAATAGTTTATTATTATCTCAAGTTCACTAATTTAATTAAAACTAAAATCATCAGCAGAGTGTCAATCCGTCGTTATCCATTATTAAGCCAAACCACCAAGAGGTTCGCCCAATTTCACACTCAATAGACAGCGACCTGCTTATCTATCATTTGACTTGAGCTCCCCATTGGGGCAACG